GGCACACTGCTGGCTCATGTTCAGCCGGCTAACCAAATTAACCAAAATTTTGGGTTTTAATTTTGGTTTTAATTTAATTTGGTTTTCCCGACAAATTTGCGGGTTTTCCCGTGAAATTCCCAGTTTTCCACTGAAGTCCGCTGATTTGCTTCTCAAATTTGCTGTTTTCCACTGAAATCCACCGTTTTTCCCTCTGTCTGCATGTAATTTAGATGATTCATTGTTCAAACTGCTTTAGCTATTTTCTCCCATAAAAATGCTTAGCCAATACTGCAAGTTATTAATTATTAATGAAATGTAGTCCTCTCTATTTTGACATGTGCCTACTATTAAGTAGCGATATAGAAACCCCATTGCCATTCTCGCCCTGACACTGGCCCGATTAGACTCACACACAAAGAAGCAGAATTCTGATCATTCCAGGGGGTCAGGTATACAGTCTCTGGAGAAAGGAGACAAACACAACATGGTAGAGTGGAAAGCTTTGCACAGATTCTCCCTTTCTAATGTAAACTGACAATCAGTAAGCCAGTGGGAGACTCGAGGTCCTCCAGCTCCCATAAAAACCTCACCACCCTAGGAGGTTGTCAATACTGCATGCACAAGGTAATATCACAAGAAAAGTTCTTACTGGCCAAATACTATTCTGATAAAGGTATTGATGAAGAAGTTGTATTCTGAGTTACAATGTTACTAACTAACTGCAATAGCTTAATTACTGTTACAGGGCAAAACTGGACCAAAGGGAGAGCAAGGCCTAACAGAAAGAAAATTCTATTATTTAAATCCCATTACAGCAAGATATAAACAACACAAGGTAGTATCCAATAAAATATTTCCTATATTAGTTATTTTAGAAAGAGCTTTCTGGCTAGAAGTGATCTCAGTAATAACATAGAAAGAAATCATGTTTCTGACTTTTTCTCATCTACTTTAGGCTGAAATGGAATTTAAATCATGATTTTAGGTATTTTTTCTGCTACATGTTCTGCTGCAGTTGGTGTTAGCTGACCTAGGTGTGTACCTGCTGCAGGACAGGGTTTTTTTAAAAAAAAGTATTTAAGAGTCTAAAGAGCAAACATGTTCAAATCCATCATTGTTTATCATGCTGTAAACTTAACGATATTTCTGCTAAGCCTGAACTGCACTAGACCCAAATTGAGCAAAGCATGTCAGCAAGTACATAAATACTACTGAGGTTTATGATGGAAGCTGAGCAGCAGTAGTAAAAGGCTATATTTGAAAGACTGACTCAAGGCCAAATGAGTGCTTTCATGCACTTCAAAAAAATATAACAAATGATTGCTCTAAAAATGCAAAACACTTTGCATGTCATGGAAGCTATTGCTTCTTTGAACAGACAGCTCTGAAGGCAGCAACTTTTTTTTTGGTGGTGCTCAAAGCTGGGTAACACAGGAGGCCAGGCATGCTAGAGTTCACAAATCCCACATCTCTGTCATACGCCAGCTCCCTACAAGCAACACGCTTCCTGAATTGGGTCTATTTCTCCATTCTCAATATACTTCAAAGGGATATCCCCAACATTCATATGCTAAAACAAAAGGGGTTTGGCTTTAAGTTTTAATGAGAACCAGGTCATCACAAAACGTTACTTACAATAACAGTAGTTAATTGTTTTAGGCAGAGGTGTTACTGTGTTGTCAAGTTAATGGCCCTTACTGACACATAAAATAGTTCACTGTAAAATATGGGACACATTTCAAGTTTGGAAGCTCAGGTTTGAAAGTTAAACAGTAAGATTTTTCGTGAGTCCCTGTAGGAGACAGATATTCATTATAAACTAAATCTTTGATAGTGTCAATATTATACCTCATTTGAAAGAGGCAAATTTTAAAATATTTTATATTTAATTTTTTCACATCCAGAGAGAAGATATAATTAAATTAATTAAAGAGATATGTGGTAAGTACTTACAAAATCTTTAATTTCAGATTCTATTTTTTCTTGCTTACATTTACATTCTTCTCCTTTCCGAAAGAACACCAAGTCAAATCATCATTATTTTTTTTTTCCTTTGCAGGTTGTGGTATTAAATGTAAGGAAATTCCTATGGAGCTTGTAATTGTGATTGACAGTTCTGAGAGTGTGGGACCAGAAAATTTTGAGATTATCAAAGACTTTGTAACTGCTTTAGTAGACAGACTAACCATAGGCAGGGATGACCAGGATTGGCCTTGTGTTATACAGTTTAGAAGTTAAGCTAGAATTTGGTCTCAACAAGTACACCGCTCAACGGGATGTTAAGCAAGCAATTAGGAAAATGCAGTACATGGGAGAAGGCGCTTACACAGGAACCGCTATCCGTAAAGCGACCCAGGAAGGATTTTATGGCGCTCCAACAGGAGTGCGAAAAGTAGCTCTTGTGCTGACAGATGGCCAAGCAGACAAGAGAGAAGCTGTAAAACCAGATGTTGCTGTTCGAGAGGCTCACGCAGCAAACACCGAGATGTATGCAATAGGAATTGTAAACACTTCAGACCCAACACAGGTTGAGTTTGTGCGTGAACTGAATCTGATTGCTTCACATCCAGACAGAGAACACATGTATCTCGTTGATGAATTTAATGCCCTTCCAGGTGCGTTCACTGCAGTTCTATCCCGCAGTGTATCACATGCTCTTCTGAACAGGGCAGAGGGGGGTGGAGAAGCACTGCCTTTGTGGATGTGTTACATTTTGGTGCTGATCAGGATTAGTTAGGAGGTGCAAAGCAATAGGAACCTAGAGATACAGATTCCCTTCTTTTGAGGAGTAACGTTATAGGTCAACGATTCATCCACCAACAGAGGGCGTCACCTACAGCACAGGAAAACAGCTGCTTAAACTAGTTTTCTAAGCTGAGTAAGTGCTGATGCACTGTAAGTCTGCTGCCCTGGAAACCAGAATCAAACCCACTGGGGTAAATTCTGCTTATTCACTTCCATTAGGAAATAACCCATTTTCACCGGGTTATTCACAAGAGCAACGTAAGCAGTTTTTCTCCCACTACCAACTAGTAGTTGTTACTAAGCTCAGACGAACACCTTTAGGTAGTTCATTGTATTTTGTACCACACAGAGGACTTACAGGCTGGCAAATTTGTGACAAACAAAACTCATACTCCATAGACTCTGGGATAACTTTCTCAGATCCAGATACAAAATCTAGAGGAGTAATGGATTACATGTGTATTATATATGTATATAGATAATAACAAATACATTGAATTTCTCAGTATGATGAGTTTTTTGCTTTTTTTTTTAAACAGCTTTGGAGTCCAAATTAGTCAACCAATTTTGTGAAGATGAACATGGTACCTTAATATATAACCGTAATGGAAACAGTGCAAGCATAAACAGACCATCTTTCCATTCAGTATCTTCAAGTTCTCTACACTACGTACTTGAGAACAATGTTGACAATCACTTTCAACGCAGTCATCTGGAACATCTACAGTAGAAAGCCCTCTGAGTCTTGGTGACGTTTCTCAACCATTAGCTCCGGTATGAAAATTCAGCAAGCTTTAATGAGCAAAAATTATATATGTGTATTTATATCTCCTTCTCTGTTTCCTGGTATAGTACATAACTTTCCCCCTACTATTCTACTGTAATAGCTCCTTTAGCTTGGTATGCTCAGAGCTGGTTCTTCCAAGTAAGAGTTCTGATGCTGCATGCAGGCAATTATCTAATGGCTATATTTATTCCTGATACCATTACGAGAACTATTATTCCTGTGTTTAATAGAGTAATATTTGTGCCACAGTGTGAAACATAAATTATTATAATTAAAATACAATTACAGTGTAATAATTTAGTCTAGGAATAGTAATTAAACTCAATTTTTAAGTTACGGCCAACTAAAAAATATATATATCCCAGGATTAGGATGAGGATTAGAATTGACAATCCTCCTGGTAAACCAACCACGTGAGTTTAAAATCCTAATTCTTTACATTGACGTCAGGGTAAATGGGAAGAAAAAAAATAGAAAACCTCTAGGTAAATGAAGGACTTCATATTAAGACACTTCACAATATCTGAAAAGCAAAGAAAATCAAATGCTTATTTCAGACGAAAGCACCTCCTGTGGTAATATATGAAGCCTATGAAGAGGAACCAGAGGAAAAGGAACAGACATCCTTGTTAACAGTGGAAACCAAAGGTATTTTATCATGATTCATTTCTTCATTTTTAGTTGACCAAAAATCAATGCCTCATTCTGTCTCTTTTCACCTGGAGCTGTGCTACCAGTATTGCCATCTAAACCAGGATCATCAGATAAAGCGATGATGTCATCTCTTTCAGCTGCGGGGCTCACACCAAAACCAGGTTACAGATCATAACTAGTTTTTCGTTTTATTCCCTCTTACCCTGATAATCAGAGTAATTTTGTTCCACTCTGAAGATTTCACAAGCCAGCGCTGTGGAATAAAATTCAGTTCAGGATTTTATAACAGATCTAGTTGTAGTTCTCGTCCAGCTTTTTCACCAGTTCTTGTCTTCCCAAATTCCAAGTCCCACTGCTTCAGGTAGAGCAGAAGCAGGGTCAGCTATAACCTGAGACAGAGCTCATAAATGGCATCAGAAAGAGAACATAGTGCTAGCTGAAGTGGGCCAGTGAGCAGGTAATTTGTCAACCAAGAAGAGGCAGTCTATGGAGATGGGAGGCTTCACTAAAGACAGAGAAAAGAATTATTTCAGAATTGAACAGAAAAAACAGACTTCTCCTTCAGCAAAACAGGAAAGAACAGTGTTCAGTCACTTGAAGGGTAGTAATTACCTGACTGTTCAGATGATTGATTTTTTTTATATGAAATATTGAAATGTATTATGTTCAGCATTTGGGGGATTCACGCTTTTGTGCTCCACTAATAGTATATTAAGTTGGTAATAGAAGACAGCAAAAGAAACATGTTCCCATGCTTCCTGGGAACATGGGCACAACTGTTATTCTGTCTCTGGGGACAACTTCTTTTTTTGTAAAGTGTCAAGATACCAATTGCCAAAGACAGAGTATTGATGTCAAAACATTAAACTTGACGGCAAAGTATTTTCTCTCTCATGGCATTATTAGAGTGAGTGACACCAGATTAGTATTTACTATCATCGTATTAGGTAAGTAGCACAAACATCTTACAAAAGAAAGACTAAATTTTATATTCTTCTCGCTACTCCAATGCCTCTTCCCCTATGTCACAAAGGCAAGTGAGTACCTTGGTAGCAATGTACTGCAGAAGGATGGTGGTTAGACTTGCGGTTCAAAAATAGCAGATACAACTAGTTTACAGCTCTTTGGCTTGCAATTCTTGGTTGCTCACAAGACTGGTTGCTGATAACTGGATTTGAAAAATTAGATTTCAAAATTATCGGATTCATATTGTTAGCTCTTCTTGTATATACTCTACTTTCTGCAGTTACTAGAACCATGCCAGTAAAGGAACAGTTTATTTGGCCTACTAAAATACACGTTTAACCTGCCTTCAGAATTAAAAGTGAATCTTAAACTGCTATATAACATTAGCAGAGAAAATAAAAAAAAATAGACTTTAAAAAGTTAAAATCTGTGCAATACAATTGACTTCTAAAACCTGTGTTTTCTTTTTTTTTTTCTTTCTTTATTTTAGAAAGTCTGCTGGACCCCCAGTGCAAGTTAAGGCTGAATCAAGGGCCATGCCGTGTTTATAACATAAGATGGTATTATGATAAACAAGGCAATGCTTGTGCTCAGTTTTGGTGTGGTGGCTGCGATGGAAATGCAAACCGCTTTGAGAGCGAAGAGGAATGCAGAGAGGCTTATGTATTTTTTTCTGGAGGTAGGAATTTATCTTTGCATTAATAACAAGCAAGATGAAGCTAGTGATTGTTTGGGCTTGTTATCAAGTACCTGGCATGCAAGGTAAAACCAAACCCACTAATTTAAAGAATATTAACATTATGAAGTCACGTGCTCACTAATTAAAAAAATGTCTACCTACGCAAGCTCATTTTAATTCCTTTCACATATATTTTACGATGTAGTCCTTATGCAGCAAAATAGCATTGTTTTTCTGTAGCACTGAGTACAAAATTTCCTTTTTACTAAGGTACAGTAAAACTAGTATGGCATTTGCCCTTCCTTCACCTAGATCATTAAATACTACCACTGTACAATAACTAACTACACTTCATTTAAAATTATATATGTGGCTTTGGAAAGCAATCTTTGGTCACTAACATGATGTAATTTATTTTCTATTTGTTACAGAAATCTGATACTTGGCATGGATTTTGCAAAGAAGACTTCACTTTTTTAAGAAAAAATGTTCACACAAATCCTATTTTAACATCTTGCGCATAAAAATATCAATTTACATGCAGAGTACTACTCAGTACAGATAAATACAGCAAATGCAACAATTTGTTGCTGACATGCTGTCCAGGTCACAAGACAGGGAGTTATGCACCTTTCCCAACCACATCACAGTCTCATTTAGTCCTTTTTTTCTGTAAACTGTCCTCAGTTTCCATTAGTTAGCAAGATACAACACAAACGCAATTAAAACACAACCACAGATTTATATGAATGACTATACCAACAGATGGCATCACTAAATCAGGTTAGTTCATGTCTAAAGTGTTTCTTGTCTTCTGAAAGCCAAGTCTAATTTTCAAATGCATCTTAGTATTTTCATCTCTTTGTTAAAAACTGTTACAGCTTATGTTCAAAATGTCAAATGCAGTATAAAGATTTTTCTTTCTTGCCCATCGCTGCCATATTGCTTTTTACGTTTATGTCTGCCTGTATATGATGTATTTCCTATTACTTGACTTGCATACTTAGAAGCTTGTTTCTAATAAAACATTACTGGTTTTACTGCCAGGACACAGAATGAATAACGGTACCTTTACAGGACTAAAATCTTACCTTACAGCTAAATTACACTTACTGTGTAATGTGCTCCTAATGGTGTAACAGGGTTTCTGCCATGGCACTTAACAAGACTGAGTATCTCAGATGAGGCACTCCTACATATGAAATCAAATGATTGGTTTTTTGGTTGGGTTTGTGGGTTTTATTCCTGAACAAATGCTAAGTTCAGCATATCATTAAAAAATGGAATTTGTCCTCAAGCCAGACACTCGTTACCCTGCCTACCTGAAGATCCCGGTCAGCACTCCAGCTGAGTTGGGAGGCCACGCTTCCCACCAGTGCCAGGAAGCGAGGAGGGGAGGGAGGGACAGGCAGCGATGACAACGGCTTTTTTACGTGATGGGAGTTTGTACCAGTACTGGTGGGACCAGCTCCAGGGCAGGAACTGTCAAAGGACATGCTTCTTCCTATGATTCGTGCTTGGTTCCTCATCTGAAAGTGGTAGAGTACCACAATTTATAGAACAGTTTTGACTGGAAGGGACCTTAAAGATCACCCAGTCCAACCCCCTGCCACGGGCCGGGGCAGCTCCCACCAGCGCAGGTTGCTCAGGGCCCCTCTGGGGCACCCACAGCTGCTCCGGGCAACTGCTCCAGCGCCTCCCCGCCCTCACCGCAAAGTTCTTCCTAATATCGAACCAGGGCAAAATCTGGCTAGATACAATCCTCAAGTTACTTCAAAATAAAAATATGATGATACATCCTATCTAGTTTTAAAAACATGCCAAACAAAAAAAAAATTCAAAAAAACCAAAACCAACTCTAAACCCGACAGTAATTAAAGTTGGAATTTACCGATGAAGCAAGGGTTTCACGCGTTTTAGGTTTACCGGCTGTACAGGGGTTTGGCCCAGATTTGAGGTTTACCGGCTGTGCAGGGGTTTGGCCCAGCCAGCACAGGTGTTACCTTGTGCCACACAAAACCACGACGGCAGGAGAAGCCCAGCTACCGCGTGAGGCAACGACTGAGCAAGCTCTGCTCT